TTGATGGGAGTTTACGGCCTAGCAAGCTCCATGGCCGTAAACCCTTATTTGTCCAAGAAAATGATGTTTATTGTTGCTAGAACAAATCACATGTGATTGGTAGAATTAATCCAAGGCCTAACATGAGTTTGCATGTGATTTTTGAGGTGTTTGTGGAGTTTACGGCCCATGAAACCCCCTTCATGGCCGTAAAATCTAGTGTGTGGTGTTCCAAGGTGTTTCAAGGTCTAGAACATGCATGAATGGACTTCTAAAATTCATCTAAGGGCCTTAGGGGTGTGTAGTTTGCATTCTAACACCAAAAATTTTGGAGTCTACGGCCCAAGAACATGTCTTGGCCGTAAACCCTTAGAAACCTCACAAATGTTGTGTTTTTGGCCCTCAAAGTATTTTTGGTTGGTCCCTTGATTTATTCCAAGGCTTTTGGTGGTGTTGGATGGCTTTCTAACACCTTAGAATGAGATTTATGCCAAGTTTTGTGGAGTTTACGGCCCAAGAAATCTCCTTGGCCGTAAACTCACATAAGTCCCTCAAAATTAATGTTTCAAGTGTCCAAATGCAAGAATCAAAGTCCCATAATTCATATCTAAGCTATAGGGGTGATTTGGAAGGGTTTAAGGGCATAAAAAACCTCATTATATGAGTTTACGGCCCAAGAATATTCCTTGGCCGTAAACTCCTCTAAACATCACAAAATGCAAGTATTACATGTTTAGATTACATATTTTAAAGTCTCATAGCCATATCCAAGGTCCAAACAAGTCAAGGAAGGGTTTAAAGGCTCAAAACCCACCATCTTGGGTGTTCACGGCCTAAGCACCTTCTTAGGCCGTAAACTCATGCATTTTGTCCAATTTCATGTTTAAATCTCGAATTTGAAGGCTAAAGATGCTATAGATTAAGGCTAGGAAGGTACCTTAAGGATTTGAAGCCTTAAAATTGAGTTTTGGACACTTAATCTTTGGATTTTGGAGAGAGGTTAGAGAGAGAGTAGTGAGAGAAGGAAAAAGCTTCAAATGAAAGCTGAAACTCGTTTATATAGTCCCTAAAATTTGCACGCGGTGGAATTCTACCCGATACCGACGCTAACCGTGGCTTTTGATCGCACCCGATTGAGTTTCCGTCACCCGACGGGAACATTTTAAAAACTCGTGAAGTAATCATTTTGGGCGAATAAAATAAGTTCCTGAGTGCTTTAGACACTCATTAGGATAAAATAAATGCATAATTTATACAAATAAATTTTCAAAGAGAAATCGGAACGAATCCGATAACGGCGATTTTCCGGGTAGAACGGGTTTTGGCGATGAACAAATTTCGGGTTGTTACATTATCCCCCCGTTAGAGGGAATTTCGTCCCGAAATTCAAGGAATAGGATATAGATCATGAGTTTGAAATGAAACTCGAATAG